ATACTAGAATAGATTATATACTTTATATAGTTATTCCTTATAGGAAGAATAACTTAGATATATATCTCTAGGTACTAGAGTAAATATAAAGAGATGGTATACGGCATCCTATAAGGGAGTACTATCTCTCTAATCCTATTCCTCTTCTTTACGGTAGACCTTCTTTAAGAAATAAAGTATATAGAGATAGTCGGATACGCTAATAATATATACCTCCTAGCTATTAATAATAATACTAACTAAATATATAGATAACTAGAATAGGACCACGAGAGGTGCCTCTAGTAGGTAAAACGCTATAGAGTAAAGTTCGCCCCGGAGAAATACTAGCTTATATACTTTATTAATCGTTAAGAGAAATAGATAACTAGGGAAGGCGAATAACGCCCCTAAATTAACGTATTTAATAAACTACTAGTATAAAGCATACACGCGCTCGGAGTTATACTAGATAGTAAGCTTAAATAGGGACTATAAGTAGTATATACTATCTCTAGGGCCCTCTAGGTAGAAGCTACTATATAATAGATTATAGCCTCCACGTAGGGAACCGCCTAGAATAAGACACGCTAGCTATATATATCTATAGCACGACCCGCCTTCACGTACGGATATAAGTACTAGTATACAGCCCTTATATAGACTAGGCGAATAAAGCTTAAATCTATATAGAACTATATACTCCGTCTTATATTAGACGTATATAAAGCTACTAATACGGTACTACTATAACGCGAGATAGACGTTATAAGTATATATAACTTCTACTAGATATAGAGGGTAGTATACTTTACTAAATAATAAGTATAGGAACGTATAGAAAATATAGAATATACTTTCGCCGCGCTACGCGCGCGAATTAGTATATATTACTATATACTTCTATATATAGGCCGGAATTAAATACGGTATAGATGCTTAATAGAAGCTAACTCTAGCTAAGTAGTATAAGAAGTCTAAGATAACCCGGACGCTCTTCTAGACTAGTAGAGCCTTTAAGAACTTATAAAAAATATATAGTCGTAGACTTAAGATAAGTAGAAAGAGACACTCTATACCTACTAGACCTCCTAGTAGAATAGATATCTAGAGTAGATTTAAGGGCTATAGAAGGAACTAAGTAAATAGATATATAAAGGGCTAACGAAAGCCTAAGTATCTATACTTATCTAAGCCCGAATAGACGCTATAGAACTTCTATACTATATCTATAAGAGAGGCGTTCCTAATACCTCTCTATAGTATAAGGCGTATAGCCGTAGAGGTATAATACGCTACTATCTAGCTATATACCCTAACCTCTATATATAATAGTAATAGCTTATCTATATTATAAAGACTTTAGATATCGTATAATAGCTTAATAAGTACTCTAAGGACGTCTCCTAATAGATACTTATATATCTACTACTCCTCTAGTACTAGTAGATCTAGAAATATATACTAGAAGAGACCCGGTATACGCCGGTAGTAACCCGATATATACCGGAAGAACCCCGGGAGAACCCCGATTATTAGTCGAGGGCAGCCCTTAACTAATAACCTCCGTATCTATACGTACTACCTAAGGGTAAAATAATAGTAATATAGGCTATAGGCTAATAGGCGTACCCTATAGCTATATACTTAAGATAAAATAGAGGTTTAACGAGATATAGTTATAGATATAAGGAAGTTTTTCCCTATAGGGTTTCTTCTTATATAGTGGCTTAGACTAGAGGAGGTATAGGCCTATAGAGTACTACTCTACCTAGTTATATAATATTATTATTATTATTATTATTATAAGATAACTTAGAGAAAGAACTAGTAGACCTCTTATAAGATCTATTAATAGTATAAGTTAGATAAGAGAGAATACTCTAAATCTCTTCTATAGCCTTAGTAGCTAAAACTAACTCTCTAGAATAGATAGTCTAGATACTAGAGACTTTATAGTAACTAGAAATATAAGCTAGAGTTAAAAATAATTAATAGTTTCTAAACTTATACTTAAATAACCTCTAGAAAGAGCTTATAGTATTCTCGAAACTCTCTATATATAGAAGCTAGATAATTACTAGAACTACTAAAAGTCTTATAGATATAAAGATTATTATATATATCTTATATATAAATAGAAATCTAAAAATATATTAGTATAGATAACTTAGAATTACTCTAGACTAAAATAGTCTAATAGACTTATTTAAAGATAAACTTTACTAAAAATAGTATAGTAGTAGTAATAGATAGATAGAGTAAAGATAGAATATATAGAACTATTAGAGTTAGTAGAGTAATAACTAATACTAGAATTAAAGTAAAAGATATATTTAGAGCTAGTTATATAAGTCTTAATATACTTATAGTATATTAAACTATAGTTTACTATTTTTCTATAGTATAAGCTATAACTATATTTAGTATCTTTAGTAATCTAGACCTTATTATTAGTAGAGCTAGACTTAGAATAAATAATAAGGTTCTAAAAGAATCTAGAGTAACTAAGTTAGTCTATATTAGACTAAAAAGAGAAATAGTATTTAGAGTAAAGTAGTAATAGTATAAACTCTTAATTATTATCTATAATAAGATCTTCTTTATTCTCTAAAGAAGATAGAGTAGATAGATAGTATAAGAAAGTAGAAGTAGACTTTATAGCTACTTCTTCTATAATACTAGTACTAGAATTATCTAGATTAGAGTAACTAATAGCTACCTTAGTAGTAATAGTAGTAGTAGTCTTAGCTATCTTCTTCTCTAACTTAGAGTATATCTTTATACTACTATAATAAGTAGACTTTTTAGCTAGTATAGCTAGAGTAGAGATAATCTCTTTAGAGTAAGTCTTATAAGAGAAGAAGATAGACTTAGAAATAGAACTAGTATTAGGTATCTATATATATATATATTAGCTAGAGATCTAAGAATAGAATACTTATTTAGTCTTAAGGGCGATTAAGAAAGCTAAATTAGTAACTATAATAATATAAATAGATTATATAGAACTAGCTCTAATAAGAATAGACTACTCTAGATCTAAATAGATCTAAACTAAGAAAAATAGTATATAAATTAATAACTTATCTTAAGAGTAAGATAGATATACTAAAGAAGAAAATTTAGAATAAGAGAACTAAATATAAGCTTAGATAATATAGTAGTTATATAATCTATAGAGCTATCTCTAAGGTAGTAGCTAGAAAGTAAGAGATAAGTATATATATAAGTTAATAAAAGTAAACTAGAGTTTTAAGTTTACTAATATAAAGACTATTAATAATATTATATAGATTTAATTAGATATATATATAAATATAATACTTATAGAATTATAGATTTATATATAGTTAAGTACTTTAGAGCGAAGTATAAAAAGAAGAAGAATATTATTAAAACTAGTACTAGAATAGACTTAACTAGACTACTATATTCTAGTATAGTTCTATAATAAATAGATCTAGGTTAAGTTAGCTAGATTAAGTAAGGGTACTATATAAGTAGACTATATATACTTAATTACTACTCTTTAGAAATTAATCTTATTATAAGAGTAGACTACTCTTTTAAATATATTTCTAAATTCTTCTATAATCTATTAGACTACTATTCTACGTCTATAATTCTTATAATAAGTCTACTTATACTCTTCTAAGTCTTCTAAGTATTCTTATCTTTTAAAAAGCTAGAATACTCTATATAATAGACTACTTTAGAGATAAGCTATACTCTTATCTAGAAGGTTTATTATAGTTTAAATAGATATTATAGAACTTCTATACCATCTCTATAAGAGAGATATCTCTAATATTTCTTTATAGTATAAAGTATATAGCTAGAGAGATATAATATACTACTATCTTACTATATACTATAATATATACTAGAAGAACCTTAGAAGAACTCTAATTATTAGTTAAGAATAGTCCTTAACTAATAATCTCTATATCTATATATACTATCTAAGGGTAAAGATAATAATAATATAGACTATAGACTAATAGACATATACTATAACTATATACTTAAGATATAATAGAGGTTTAATAGAATATAATTATTAATATAAGAAAGTTTTTCTCTAGGGTTTCTTCTTATATAATAGCTTAGACTAAAGAAGATATAGATCTATAGAGTACTACTCTATCTAGTTATATAATAATAATAATATTATTATTATACTTAGTATACTCTATTATTTAATATATATAAATTATTATATTACTTTAAATTAACTAGTTTAGTCTACTAGAGTATAAGAAGTATTAGATAAAAATCTATAGATAATATATATCTATAGAGAAATACTCTATCTAGTTATATATTATATTATTATTATTATTATTATTATTATTATTATTATTATTATTATTATTATTATTATTATTATTATTATTATTATTATTATTATTATTATTATTA